ACAACATGAAAACTCCTTCTGCAATGGTTAAGAGGGCACAGAATAAGAAAAAAAAAAACCCTTAGACAAATAAATCAACTAAGTTTCCAACCCTGAATTATGAAAAGATAAAGATCTTGAAATCTTGAAAAATCTTGAAATCCTTCAAGATCAGGACTTCTTAACCTTTTTTTGGCCTGGATATTTTTGGCAATCCAGTGAAGCCTATAGATTCCTCCTCAGAATAATTTTTTTTTAAAGTGTGTGTGTGTATGTATATGCACACACATATATTTGAAGGAAATGCTATATTTTAACTACAGGTTAGTAAAAAGTAAAGATGTAAATTTCTTTCCATTCAAGTTCATGAATCCTTTGAAATTTATCCATAGACTTCATGTTAAGAACCTTTGTCCTAGATGGATTTCCTCTTCAACCAAGGCTCTATGCTAACTCCTAAGTAACCACATATACAGAATATAAATTTACATAAATATAAGTTTAGGTATAAATCAACCAGCAAACAAATACTTATTAAGCACTTAAATTTCAATTGAATTGGATAATTCTGAGTGACTAAGTCATTTTAACTATTACAAACACCCAAATTAACTACAAAGGACATATGAAGGAAGGTGCTATCTGCATCCAGAGAAAGAACTGATAAACAAAAGTATGAACAGAATGTATGTATATATGTATGTGTGTATACACACATATTTGTGTCTAATAGTAGCCACTGGGAGGGAGGTTTGAGGGAAAGAAAAAAGGCAAAAAAGTTACATGATAATTTTATTATATATTTTTAAAAGTTGCACAAAATAAATTTGCAGTTTCATGTACAATCATCTTTTTTCTATTCTACTACATTATGGAAATGCTTGTTCTATTTCTATTGCTCTGTTTCTTAAGTTTAGAATAAAATAAATAAAATTTTAAAAAACATGTATTAAGCACCTATTATGTACAAGGCACTATGGCAGCCTATGGGAATACAAAGACAAAAAAAAAAAAGTGGTCCGGCCCTCCAGGAGTTTATAGGAGCTTACAGAAGGGTGAGAACATTTACATAGAAAAGTAAATGCAAACACTGCATAATGATCAACTTTGATAGACTTAGCTCTTCTCCGAAATGCAACGATCCAAGACAATTCCAAAAGACTCCTGATGGAAAATGCTATCCATATCTAGAGAAACAGCTGTGGAGTCTGGATGAAGATCAAAGCAAACTATTTTCACTTTTTTTGTTTTTTTTGTGGCTTTTCCCTTTTGTTTTTTTGTCTCTTCTTTCACAACATGACTAATGAGGAAATATGTTTACATGATTGCACATGTGTAACCTATATCAGATTGCTCCCCATCTTGGGGAGGGAGATGGCAGGAAGGGAGGGAGGAAAAAAAATTTGAAACTCAAAATCTTATTTAAAAAATGAATGTTGAAAACTATCTTTCCATGTAATTGGAAAAAATAAAATACCATTTACAAAAAAAGTAAAGTAAATGCAAAATATAAACAAACTAAATTGAATATAAAGTAGTTTTCCTGGGTGAAGTAGGGGAAAATCAGGAATGACTTGTACAAAATGGGATACCCACACTGCATTCTAGTAAAAAAAAAAAATCTCATTACGAAGAAAACACTCTACTTGCAACAGCATTTATCAAAACTTCTCTCCAAGTATCCAAAAGAATTGAAAGAAATCCATTCAACTTGGTTCAACCACTTCTCCCATAGGAACTTGGAATTTAGAGTTCTTTACTTAGCTGAAGTTTGTGTGTGTGTGTGTGTGTGTGTGTGTGTGTGTGTGTACTTCTGCCAAACAGAAGAAGATGAAAAGTTTCCTTTGCCCTGGGAAGGCCTCTCTGGTTTGTCACTCAATATAAAAACATGAATTCCTTAATAAGTGGATATTAAAACAATAGAATCTGCCAAAAACACAAAACTGAGAGAATGAGGAAAAGAAGGGATGTTCATCTTCTAACTGGTCCAAATGTGATGTCTCTCTATATAGTGGTCAGAGAAGATTTAGGAAACTATTATACAATAACCATACTACATTTCTAAAATTTCTGGGCTGATAAATAAAGATGGGGGCAAAATCTAAGCTGAACCACCACTGCAGCCGTTCTGTTCAGGAACAGGTTTCATGTCTATCCATAAACCTTTGGTTCCACCAGAAAAAGATACTTACTTGGAAAACCAAAGAGGTCCCTCTTCCCCTTGTCCCTGATCACAAGCCTGGCCACCAGAAGTTGTATTAAAATGTGAAAAATTAGGTCTTGATCCTCTAACTCGAAGAAAAGTTCCTTTCAGTACTGGCCCTTTCTCCAGCACACATGTCAGATTTTCTTCAAGATACACAGCAATCATTCTTTAAATACGACAAAGCAGCTTTTGCTAAATAGCTGTTAAATAATGGACTAAAATGCAAATAGTGAATAGCATCACACAGCTACATCCCACCATGTTTGTTTGAAAATGAAGCTATGTTTTGTTTAAATGTCACAAGAACTGAATCACAGAATCAATGATCTCAGCTGGAACCGATTCAGAAGCCATCAAGCCTAACTTGTACCTGAATAGAAATAACTTCTAGAATAGCCGAGTCGAACTCAAATCAAAATGGGGGCCACTGATCCATACACAAGGATACCTATGGGTCATATGTTGACTTAGTTTGAAAATGAAATGCAGCCTAACACCTCTGCAACACTCCTAATAAGTGGCACCTTCCCCTCCTTCTGTCTCCCAATCTGCTCAGCAGATACCACTGAAAATGACTAAAGGATTATCCTAACCCATCCTGTTCTTGAGAATGGGAGTTAACAGACCTTATTTCTTAGTAGCTTAGAAAGCATGCTATATGAGTATTAGTTACTATGCATACTAGTTATAATACTACATTAGTTACTATGTATACAATATACTAATACATAGCTACTATTACTACTAGTTATGACCTCAAGTAGATGTTTCTATGCCCATTTTACAGATGGGTAACTGAAGCACTAAGTGAGGTGAGATCATTCCCATACAATCATATATAACCCCAGGGCCAGCACTATAATCTTTCCTACCCAGTACTCAGCAGGAGACTACTGAATCATCTGTAGGGTCTCAAGCACCCACTTCCCAAGGGTCCCTGCAGTTTTTCCTCCTATTTGACAAAAATCAGGCCCCATGCTACATGACCACCTGTAGTGTCTCAAGCAATACCTCCCAAAGGCATCTGCAGCATTTTTTCCCTATTTGACAAGCATCAGACCCATGCTACGTGACTTGGGAACAGCCTCCCTCTACCAAACACTCCCACAAAGAGAGCACTGTAATGAATTTGAACAGATAAAGAGTATCAGTCTTAGTATTCCTGTCTGATACTCTGTAATTCTCGGTTATTTTTAAAACTCCAAGATAAAGGAGAGACGCCCGGAAAAAAAAATAGAGAGCGATCATGCCCAACTTTCATGCCAAAAGCTGGCAAAGGCTGGGTCCTTTCTTTAGCAAGCTCCCAGGCACTAAGCTATGATTTGTCTCAATCCACACCGCCAGCCTTGACTCTTCCCTGCTCGTGGAGTTCTGCAGCTGGGAATTTACTGAACACATGCACTTCTACCCAAAGCTGTAATAATGCACGTTTGTGGGACTCTCCAGAGACCCTGAGCTCCTAATTGTCTTTCGAGTTTAGCCAGTTTTCTTCATTACTAAGCTCCAAGCTGGTGCGTGCAGTTCTGTACGGTACCTTCCATTGTCACTCTCCTTCTCAACAGTAAAGATTTGGCCCAGGTGCTGCCTCACTAGTGTCTCCAACAAGGCTGTATGAGCTGATGTCTTGACTAAATGAATGTTTCACTCCTCTCTCCTCCCCATTGCTAATCATGAAAAAAGGCACTCTCCTGGGCTTTTTTATGAATTTCCAATTTTCTCTTCAAGGAGTCAGTTTTGCGCCCAAGCTGGAGAAGCTGAAGCTCTCAAACAGATGTTGCCTCTTCCTCCACTACTCCCCATATTTTTGCCAGCATTCAAAGGAAGAGTGAATGGAGGTAATGAAATCCTCCCACAGGTCTAAGTAATCTTCAATAAAAACCCCACAGCTTTTAGTGCAGACAACTCTTCACTACACTCTAATAGATGTGCGAGCTCATCAATGTGGATCTTCCCTAAAATAATTCAATTGCAATCTCTCCAGACCTGCCCATTCTGTGCCACTCTTGTCCATACCATCCCCAAAGTTTGCCTCGAGGGGTCCACCATACATGTGGGGCCCCTCCTCTTTTTCTCATCAGACCTCAATGAGTCCAGTGGAATAAACCAAATCATGAATATGGTAGAAGAGTTAGAAAATTCGCCTTCTCTACTAGCCTATGACACAGTTGAACCAACACAAATGATGTAGGACTAATGGTACTGCCACCAATCCTAGAATATCTGTTGTTCATTTGGCAAGTTACAGAAAGTGATTAATACGGGCCAGATTGCAGATTCTGCGGTGTGGAGGTGGTGGTAGGGTGGTGAAACTTGGAAGATGGGGAGGTGGTAATGGTAGGGGTGCTAAAGCTAGAGGGATGTGTTTGTCCTAAGCAAACTCTCTGCCCAGTCTTTGTAACTCTCTGGAAATACCCTAAGGCATGACCCAGTCATTCCCTCTTGTCTCTCCCACCCCCCAGCTCCCAGCGGGAACCCATATCAAGTTTCTGTTCTATTGCCCATCTACATTCTAAATATATTGGTTAATAAAAAGCAATTTTTGATGGTGGGTGAGACCAGAGGTCACACCATGACTTTCTTGGGTCACATATTTCTGCTAATGCTTACTGATGTGTAGGATATATGAGAAATTACCCAATGCACTTTTATTCAGGGCCATCAAAAACTCAATAACCACCAGATTATTCTGTCATCTGGGAAACACCAGTGTAAAGGAATTACTGAGAAGCAAAGGCCATCCACCACCAAGAAGTTAGGAGAAACAATGGCAAAGATTGTTTGAGGGGTTTTTTTGTTTTTTGTTTTTTGGCCTTACCCTGGAGTGGTATGTGAGGCAGCCTTCGAACACGCTTACATCTTCATGGCCCATTAGTTCTGTTTGTCCTCACTCCTTGCCTCTTCTTGCATGCTGAATCAGATGCTGGAAAACAAAAGGGAATGGACTAGTCAAGGAACCAACCCACCTATTCTACTCAGGGCACATACACAACATGAGGTATCTACCGTGCAGAACAATTTGTTACTCGGGGCACTTCCAAGTACAAATGTTAAAAGGGTGTGTTAAGTCTAGACACAAGTGTCATGGAAGATTGTCACAAATAATCCCCAAGTGGTCAAAATTTCTAGAATATATTTAGTCTGGAGACAAGATAGGATATCATAAAAGTTCAGACCTGAAAAGACCCATAGAGATCACCTGGTTCAACCTACTGATTTACAAATAAAGAGACAGTATCATTTATGTCCTGTAGGCCTGGAAAAAGAGGCAAGGCAGGCATGTGTCAGGAATGGGGGAGGGTTAATGATGGAAAGTTCAATGCTTATACCGATATTCATGAAATAATAAAAACTCCTAGCACATGGGGTAAGTTATTCTGTGTAACAGTCTTGACAAGAATTATACAGAATGAGGAAGTGTGGATGAACTGTTCTCAGCAGGAATCCACTGAAGGACTGGAAGAATACTGAACCTCACAGAATCCACATCTATTTCATTTCTTCATTCATTCACAAGTGTTTTCCAAACACCAATTAATTTGAAAACCCTTAGAATTGAGTATTTTTATTCCCTTGCTGAGGCAAGACTACAGTCCACTCTGATACCAACACGGATACCAACTTGAAGAGAGAAGGTGTTCACTCTGGTCAAGAAGTCTAGTTGAGAAGTTACTTGCAGTCATTGCAGAAGGAGCTAATGGTACTAGAAGTGGGAAAACCAGGTTTAAAAAGATCACAGAATTTTGATGCAAAGTTATTCTTGAATGAAGTATTAATTATTCATTACAATTATTCTAGACTTCAATGGCTTATATTAGCCTAAATTAAAATGTATCCACTACCTACCTCCTAGTAGGGCAGGGCATTTTTCCACAGAGGACCCTAGACAAGTACAGAAATATTACTCAAAGCAGCCCCGAGAGAAATAAGTTCATTAAAGTCACTCAGGAAAACAGGGGTGAACTACAAAGAAAAGAGGGGACTTGAATCTGTCTCCAGGGTGAAGCTGTCTTCAAGGTTTTACATGAAGGGAAATCGTCCAAGACCAACAGACACAATGTCTCACGTGCTGTGGGTCCTGTTGCTACAAAAGTAGCATATAAATGTACATATAAATGTGTTTTGGATACATTGTCTAAATTGGTCCTCACACAAACTGTAAGCAAATATTACAGATGGAAAATCTCAGGTTATAAACTTTAGCAGAAGGTATATGCTATAGATAATAAGTAGACTTAAATCCAAATATTTTCACTCGGAGTCTAGTGCTACTTTCATTGTAATATGTTGTCTCTTAATTTGGAGAATAAAAAAGGAAAAAAAATTTGAGAATAAAATATAAAAGAAGCACAGCCCAAGACAAGGGGGGAAACTATCCAACTGGGTTCCAGCACTAAATCATTTGTGTGAATTTAGGCTAGCCAATTGTCAGCTTCTGGGTCTAAGTTTTTCTTCTAGAGAATAAGGAAAGTGGGCTAGAGGGTTCAACATTCACTGATCCCACAGCTACAAGCCACCGTACTAGAAGACGTGAGGAGCACACAACAGAATAAAACCTCATTCTTGCTCTCAGGGAGCTTCCAGTCAAGCAAAAAAGGGAAGACACAAATAATGAAGAAAATGTACACAAATAATGAAGAAAAGGCAGGGTATAAAAGGACAATAAGAAGTACAAACAATGTTCTGGGACTTAAGAGAAAGGAGAGACAACTTCTGGCCAAGGCAGAAGTGAGGAAGAAAAAAGAGAGAAGCCTTCATGGAAGAGATGGTATGTGGAACTGAGCCTCTTTGAAGGCTAGGTAGGAAATCCCAGAAGCTCAGTGTGAAAGTGATCTCAGAGCTTATCTGGTCCAGCCAATGCCCAAACCGGCATCCTCTATGCCACTTCCCTGACAAGTGAGAGGAAAGGAGAAAGGGAATAAGCAGTTCTATAGTGCTTGCTATGTGCCAGGCACTGTACCAAGTGCTTTACAAATAGTATCTTACTTGATCCTCACAACAAACCTGTGAGGTAAGTGCTACCGTCAGCCTCATTTTACATGGAGGAAACTGAGGCAATCAGAAGTTAAATGCCTTGCCTAAAGTCCGACAGACAGCATCTAAGGGCAGATTTGAACAAGTGGTCTTCCAAATTCTTTTTGAAGATCTCCAGTAAGGGTGAACCCACTACCTTCTAAGGTAACCTATTCCACTTTTGGTCAGTTCTACTTGTGGAGACAGGTTTTTCCCCCTGTGTGTTGAGCCCAAGTCTTCACCTCTGCAAACTGCATCCACAATCCTAGGTCTGTCCTCTAGGTTCAAACAGAGCAAGCTTACCCATTTATTATGGCAGTAGCAAGATGCTCACTATGGAGCTGGGCAACGTGGAGGGATGACAAAGAAGGGGCAATCTGGAAAGAAGAGCAAAACAAAGCTACAGTGGCAAGAAACCAAGCAGCATGCTTGGGGAATTGAAAACATTCTTCTCTGGCTAAGCTGTACATTAAGAAAAGAAGAGAAGAAATGAAAGATAAGAGTGGAGAGGCAGGATGAGGCCAAATCATAAAGAGCTCAACTCCTGGGTTGCCTACTCAGGTCAGTGGATTATTGTGAATAAAGCACTTTGTAAACCTTAAAGCTCTGTATATATGAGCCGTGATGATGATGATGTGATTAAGAGCCATTGAGCAGGCTGATATAATTCAGTTGTGTTTTATTTCAATTATTCTGGTGAAATTAAGTCAGATGGGTTAGAGGTGGATGAGAATAGAGGCAGGAAGGCCAGTTAGAATATTACTATAATAGACCAGGAGAGGTATCATGAGGCCCCAAATCACAGTGTCAATGGGAATGCAAAGGATAGGATAAGATATAGAAGAAAAGAGAGCTCATAGAGGTAAAATAAACAAAACTTAGCAACGGTTTGAGTGTTCAGGATAAGCAAGACAAAGCTGCATAATAAAATAGGAGGGATAAATCAAGCTGGATTGACTTTGGAGAATTGCACAGAACTTTTAATAACTCTGCAGTTTCTTCCCAAAACAAAGGGCCATCACTCCAACACCAATACTCTTCTAAGAAGACTTTGAGGACACTAAGGAGACTGCATGGCTTTGAGTCATGGAATACACTGTCTCCAAAGAATGAAAGATAGAGGTCAAGCAAAAAAGAAAAAAAGGATATATCAAAAATAATAGGTTGAGCCCTCCAGATTGCCATTAACAGAAATAGGAGAGGTGGGCTCCATCTTCTCCGGGAAGTAGAAGGTAAGGTCTTGTGCAACGTAAGTGATGTCCTGAGTGTGAGAAAGCTGCCATTTGGAATGCAATAGGAAATAAACTAAAAATGAATAAAATTAATTGAGAAGCTGCCATTTGTCCTAGTTAAGGCTTAAAAGCTTGAATGTGTACTGGGATTGGCTTTAAGATTTTCCCCCACCCCCAACATCACCAAGTATCCTGGAAGAAGAATCAGAGAAAGTGAAGGAGAGTAGGCTTTCCCTGCGATGGCGAAATAGAAAGGCAGGTAAATAGAACAAAGGGGAGAGGAATTTCAGAGAGTTAGCAAGGACATCAAAGCGGCTGACAATGGAATCCACATTGGGTAGGGAGGAAAGTGGGTCACAAAGGAGATGGGTTAGAGGGGACTGAAGTCCTAGAGGCTGCAATGATGCGGGGACCAGGGTTAGTACGTGAAGGGGAGTAAGACTTAAAGGACAGGTGGTTGTGGTCAGACACACATCACAGTAGCAACAGGGCACAGTCAAGACTAAAATGGGATGAAAATAAAAGTCCACCACTGAAAAATACAAGTTAAATGAAGTCAAGAATTGAAAAGTTATTCTAATCTCATGTGTATAGCATCAGAAGGAGCATGGCAGAATGGGAGCGAATATTTACTAGCTATATGACCTTGGGCAGGTTATTTAAACTCTGTGCCCGCCAGGCAGCTTCCCAGGATTTAACCACTAAATCCTAGCTGGGTTGCAATCTGCACTGGAGGGAGTTTGACATACTGATGAAATTGCAAAGCCTTCACCATTCACATTCATACCTTCAGGAGGGCCACCTTCCAAAAGAGAAATTCACAGATGCCTTGGATATACTTCATTTGAATCAAAGAATTCTAGAAATGGAGGAGCCCCACGAAGATGACTTTGCAGATATCGTTCTCCTTCAAAAATTCTAGGAGTCTTAAGATTTCAGATCACCTTGAGATTCACCCAGTCCATTTACTCAATGTGCTGCTCACATCCCTGGTTGCCCAACAATTGCCACAAATTAGGTACTTATACTTAGGAAGCTTCTAGTTTTAAAAATCTCTCTATGGAGAATCAGGTCTAAGGAAAGCTCACAGCTTCAGTTCCAGTTTGCTAAATCTTTCTTAAGCTAGGAGATTGTCCTGAGGGATATCACAAGTACTTCATGGACTCCCAGCATCCTTGATCCCTATTGTGCAAATGATATAAGTAAACTTCTCAAATAATGAGTTTAACCAAAGGAAAACACTTGTAAATGTATCTGAGTATGGCAATTTTGGACATGGCCAGTACGGACATTTGTTTTGCCTGATGATAAATATTTGTTATAAGGGGTTTTTTTTTCTTTTTCCATTGGGATACAGGGAAGTAGAAAAGAGAGAAAATAAATGCTTATTTAAAAGATTTTCAAATAAAATATTTAAATAATGTCACCAAGTATGGGACAGAATAATGCTTTGCCCCCTTTGCATTAATTTCTTTTCTCTCTGCTGAAACATACGAAGGGCTGAGAAGCCAGGGACTCTTGATCTGGGGTCTGTGAATTTTTTACAAAATGTTTTGATAACTGTATTTCTATAAAATTAGTTTATTTTGTAACCCTATGGATTTTATCTCATACAACATTATTCTGAGAAGGGGTGAATAAGCTTCATCAGACTGCCAAGGGGATTGAACACTCCTGT